TCAACTAGAACAGAATGACAATACTGTATGTTGGCAAAGGATGTGTAGTATCTAAAATTCTCACTGCCAATGGGAGTATAAAATGGTACAACCATTTTGGAAAACTATTTAATGTTCTCTTATAAAAGGCAGCCTACAGGGCGCCTGGGTGGCTCAGTTGGTTAAGTGACTGCCTTCGGCTCAGGTCATGATCCTGGAGTCCCAGGATCGAGTCCCGTATCGGGCTCCCTGCTCGGCAGGGAGTCTGCTTCTCCCTCTGACCCTCCCCCCTCTCATGTGTTCTCTCTCATTCTCTCTCTCTCTCACAAATAAATAAATAAAATCTTAAAAAAAAAAAAAAAAAGGCAGCCTACATCTACACTATACCCCAGCAATTCTACTCCTACACATATATTAAAGAGAAATATAAACATCTGCCTACAGAAAGACTTGTCTGCTAATTTTATGACAGCCTTATTCATAATACCTCCAAACTGAAAACAATCCAAATACCCACCAACTGGTAAACAGATAAAAAACTTCTTAGAACTGAATACTACTCAGCAATGAAAAGAAACAATTCGTATTTGCAATAACATAGATGAATCTCAAAACATTTGGAGTGAAAGATACTAGACAAGAAAAATAAATACATTCTATGATTCCATTTATATAAATTCTGAGAACATGTGATAGAAATCAGAATATGGTTATCTGTGGAGGGAAGGAGGAATCGACTGAGAAGGGGCATAAAGCGGTGATGGAAATGTTCTATATCTTGTTTGGGTGGTAATGATCAGAAGAGAGTATGAGAAAAGTTTTTGGGATAGAAATAATGTTCAAATCTTGATCTTGGTGGTTATAAAGGTGTATTCGCTTTTTAAAAATTCATGGAGCTACAGACTTATGATTTGTGTATTTGGGTCTAAAAAATTGCTAAGCAAATAACTTAAAAAATAAAAAACTGCACCACAGAGTAAATATTTTACAACACATTTGACAGAAAAGGGGCCAATCCCTGAAATAAGCAAAGATTTTAAGCCTGTTTCAGACATGTTAACTTGAGATAGTGGAATGTCCATGTGAAAAGATTCAACAAGAATCAGAGATGTCAAAACCAAGCTTGAGATTCGAGATTCAGATTTGGCAATCAGTGGAATATAAATCCAGATATTTTAACAAATGTGAAGTGATATTAACTAACAAAAAACATTTTTTTTTTACATTTTACAAGTCAAACCAAATATACCTGTGGGCCAGTTTGACTCTGTGGGTTGCTAATTTGCAACCTCTAATGATCACCAGGAATAACATCTGCCCATGCCCTTCATTTTATTACCCCATATGAATATTTATCTTAACAAAAATATTGCAGAGCACCAGAAGTGGGGTCCTAAATATTTAGTGTGACGGCAGCCTGAACATGCTTTTTAACCTTGACTCCTTGAAACTCCAATAAAATGAGATTTTTCTTTAAAAGCATAAGCCTACACAGATGAAGAGAAAAGGAGAAGAGAGAACAGTAAAATTAAAATTTTAGAATGTGGAAAGCTGACGGATATGTGGTAAAACAAACAAACAAACAAAAAAACTCAGCGGATCTGAGAAAACTGAATTCTAAGCCAATAATTGAGAAACCAAGAATAAACTTATTCTCTAGAGTATCTAAAATGTCAAGAATTGATAGGAATCCCACTACTTATGGAAATGAGAGTGAAAGGAGGGCTAAAGTAAGGAATATTGGTTGATAATCTTTTTAAGCAGCAAACTCCACTCCAGTCATCTGAGCAACAATCATTCCCCATTTTGGCAAAATACTAAAGAGACTAAAACAGATAATCTCTGAATAGGGTGGGGAGACCACCCAAGGTTGAAGGCAATAGTACTGATCTGAAAACAAGAGGATTAGTAGAGCCTAAATATATACTAAATGCCCTCTTCCCCAACTCAGATCCCAGAATGCTGGCAGTCAGGTCTTTACCTTCCAGACAGGAGACGGGAGACAGGACAAGTCTCCTCTAGGGAATCTGAGCAGCCCCAGAAGAAATACCTCCAGATATTAACACCAAAGCTTCACCAACTAAACAGCCCAGCTAGATAAACTCACAATCAACAAGTCCCACCCACATACCTAGAGCTTCCAATCGGCGTCTTATGTCCACTACCACTTAAATATGAGTAGTCAACCAAGGAATTACCTGACATCTGAGAAACACCCCTACCAACAAAGTCAGAGAGTAAAAATAAATAAATAAATAAATAAATAAATAAATAAATAAATAAATAAATAAATAACTGGGGGGAAAACTTAGTGCAAACAAACTATATGCAAGGAGATACATAAATACATACATCTAAAATCTCACAGAGGTGAAGACAAAATACTGTTAACAGTAAATCAAGAACAGTTACCTTAAAAAAAAAAAGAAAATGAAGGAAAAGAAATATTTGGAGATCAAAAAAGTTCTTAGAAATTAAAAATCGGAGAGCAGAAATGAAATAAAATCAGCATTATTTTAGGAAGATAAAAATAAAGAAATATCCTAGAAGCAGAGCAAGGAGTCAAAAAAATAAAAATTGTTAAAGAGAAAAGAAAATCAGAGGACCAGTCTAGAAGATTAAACATCACTATCTGTACTGGAATCAAGTAAACAGAAAGAAATAAATAATTCAAAAAAATTTCCTAGATCTTAAAGACATTATCAGATCAAAGAACAGTTTCCAGATTAAATTCCAGACAGGTTCACCAAGTACCCAACACAATGGAAGTAAACAGGCCCATATCAAAGCACATCACCAGGAAATTACAGACCACACAAGAAAAGATTCTAAAACAGAAAAAAAGGTAGGTTACAAACTAAAGATGAGAAATTAGAATGGCTTCAAACTTCTCAGTTACAACCCTGGAAGGCTAGAGGGCATGAGAGAAGTGTCTGGGGTGGGAGTTATTAGTAAGCCCACCTAGCAAGCAGGTCTGTTTCTAAATACCGTTACTAAAAGGAGTTAGGGTACCTTGGAAAATGGCTATTTCTAGGTCTAGGGCAAGAAAAGTACAATGTGAGCGTGGAACATATTATTGTGTGATAACCAAGAAAGTATTCAATGACAAATGAGGACACAGAAATTGGCTTGAGGGGTTCCCCTAACCAAATGTAGTAAAATTTGAGCATAAAAAAGAATAATGAAAACAAACAGATTATAACACACTTATTAAAAAAAAAAAATCCATGAATCTATAGTGATAATCAGATAAAGAAGATAAAAAGAAAAGGGAAATAAAAAGGAAGAGCTTAAAAAAAGAAAAGCTCTTCTTTATATTAAGAAAGACAGCTAATAAATGTCAAAGGAATGACAGAATTATAAATTCACCATTTTGTAACCCCAAATATAATAGCTGATTAAAGCAAGAGGGGCACCTGGCTGGCTCAGTCAGAGGAGCATGTGACTCTTGATCTTGGGGTTATGAGATCGAGATCCACCTTGGGTATGGAGATTACTTAAAAATAAAAAAAATTTTTAAATCTAAAGCAAGAATCCTAAAACCAATGAGTGAAAGGTTGTTAAGGAAACAGGACTCAAAATATCACCCCACAGATTATTTAGTAATTGCAAAGAGAAAAAGATACTTTTTCAAGTGATCTGATAGACATCCTCTTAATCAAATGATCAAATTTAGCATAACCTAGAGACAATCTAACAGTATATGCCTTTTGATTTCATACAGTGATACAATATCACTTACGTCATACTCATACCAAAAACAGTTAATCTGAATCTAATCATGAGAAAATAATTAAATAAATACAAAATGTCCTGGTCGACAAGACAACTGACCCTGGACCCTTTCATGAAAAACAAAGAAAGGCAGGAAGACTGTTCTAGATTAAAGGGACAAAAAAGTACATATCAACCAATGTTTCAGGGAGGAAATGAAGGTACAAGACATCTGGGGCATAAATGGGGAAATCTGAATATAAATATCAGATGTTACTGAAAAAATATATAATGCTCCAAACTGGAAAATAGTGAAGAAACGTTAAAAGTTAGTTATTTAAAGACATAAATGTAAATACAAAAATAATGCCTTAAAGGAGGTAAAAGTTTTTGCCCTTAGCAAGAAGGAATGGTGAATGGAAAGCAGGGATGATGATGCCTGTTTTTCTGCAATAAATACATAGAACTATATTATCTAGATCTTTAAAATATAAGGATGTACAACTTTGGTAGAGAAAGAGAATATATATATACACATACATACATATATATATATAAATAAAAGACTTTCAGGACAGTTTATGGTTTGTGTATTAAGAAGGAGAAAATAACTACTAATTAGTATGAATTGGTAAACGCCAATAAAATTCAATGTTTAGCACTATAAAGCAGGACATACACAGATCTTTGAGTATAGATTTGTACATAATGTACTGTGATAATTAAGCAATTATTAATAAACTAAGAGGAAACCATTATTTCCCTATTCCAAATGTAGAATATTCTCATTTATTTTGATTTTTCTATATTACTTTAAAATTGTTCATTTTTAAAACATTTTAAACATTACATCTAATGATAATCAATAAACTACTTCAAATGATTTTCCATTTGTCATGTGTTCATTTGTGTTATAAAACAGAACATGATCTACAGTGGCTCAGATTGTCAAAATTTAACTACCCATATTGCTTTCACTGTGGTCCCACTATACACACTTAGCCTTTGATTATAAGCAATGTTCACATGGAAGCTAATCAATATTTTTTCATTCCTGTTCAGTTGTCTATTTGTCCTTCAACAATATCATCAATCTTTGATTTCACTTATAAAGGACAAGGATCCACAAATAAATGGCTAAGAATTGCTTTATTAGATGATTTTGATGGGCAAACTGCATGAAAAAAGAATAAAGGTAGAAAGCAAAAGTTCACATGTCTCACTATAATTTATAGTAAGTTTATCCATGCTTTCTTTAATAGAAAAATAAAAGATTCTTATTAAAAACAGGAAAGAAACCAACTCACCTTTTTGCACTCATCTGTTCTTTTAGCTTACTGTACATTTCCAGCACTGCATTAAAAAATATAACTTATTTTAGCTTTCAAAATTTAGATGAAAAAATTAAAGCAGGAAAGAACCTATTATAAATTCATTAATTTTCTCTATACTTTAATTCAGGCTTATATTTTCAAATAAAATTTTATACATTGAGTAAATAAAAACATTTTAATGTCCTCATAGATTGAACATTACATTATATATATGAAGACATTATCTGGAATTTGGAACACTTTCATATGCTGATACCTATAATTGAAACATTAACCTACTAACAATTAATCATATTCAGAAACTTAATAATATCTCTTCCCTGTAGTGGAATTGAAGTTTGGACTTTAGTTATTCAAGAGACAAAGTTGAGTAAGTGAGATTGATTAATTTTGATTCAATATATCAAATAAAATACATATACCCAAAATATACCAAACACAACTGTGTTATAACTCACTAAATAAAATTTTACACCAAACTGACAAAGAAAAAAAAAAAACCTCAAAAGTTTACAAAGATTAAATTATAATAAAACCATAAATAAACATAACAAATCAACTTCGTTTTATCATTTGTATTATAGACTCAGAAATGCAATTATTCAATAGAATTGTTACAAGCTTCAGCAAGATGACACACTGCCACCAAAAAGGTTTTAATGCAACTATGTAGATTACCATTCATCCTTAGGAGAATTTCAAAGTATAAAGTGAGTAAATTATCATTGGCTCATCAAGCCAGCTCATATTTTCACAGATCGGAGAGACAGACAACACTTGTTTCCAGGCTGTCTATTTTGGCTACTTCCCAGGGGTCTTCAAGTTTACAGAAGATATTTAGTTCACTTGTCTGAAAACCATAAAGCTACAATGGTGGCAACAGTGAACTACCCTAACCCTGTGAACCCTTTGTATATCTCTATCACAGCCCCTATATTGTAATGCAGTATTTCTCGCATTTTCCAACCAAAGCATTAGAGTAAACACATAACCTGGGAAAAAGCCTAAAACTGCTGCTTAAGTATAAACTTTCTTTAAAGTCTCCAGTTTTAGCTCAATAATTTATGTAACTTTCATATCTATCTTATTTCCATATAAAAGTAATGCTCTCCTCAAAAATAATCAAGTAAAACTAATGTACCAGGAAAATGCATTGTTTACCCTATGACTTTTTTTTGATTTTGTTTTTATTATGTTATGTTAATCACCATACATTACATCATTAGTTTTTGATGTTACCCTATGACTTCTTATATCTTCTCATACCCCTTCTAATCCAAGGAAGAGTTAGGCAATTATACAATAATAAATAGCTCATTTATCTTTATTCACATTAAATTGTAGGATCCTTCAGAGCTTGGACTGTGTCATTTTCAACTTTATATTTCCAATATCTACCATAATGGCTGACAGAAAAAAGTATTTCCAAGTGGATAATTTGATAGAAGGCTAGATGGAGGAAAGGAAGCAGTTCTCAATGTGGCTATTAGGAACACAATGTTTACATGAACTCAGATTGCCTGTCCAGCCTTGAAAGCAAAGACAGTAGCAGTAACAAAAGTCTAATCTCTACTTCCCTTTATTTCTCTATTCCAACCCCGCCCCCCAGGGGAATAAGCTGAATTCAGCTCTTTCTCATTCCACCAGTCCCCAATTTTTTAGGCTTATTACCATTCAGGGACAAAGCAATCAAACTTTGAGACTGTCGTCATGGCTACTTCAGTGTAACTGATGGTGGCAAAGAGGTATTATTAAACATTACTATAAGAAAGTAGGTTTCTCAACCTTGAAACATAATAAGCAGACATTTTATTTACTCAAAGTTAATGTGCAAATATCCAGGGACCAGAGATAAAACTGAATAGAATTTCAGTGATTCTAAAAAAAAAAGAAAAGTTATTCTCACAAAGTCAGAAAACAATGTTTTTTAGTTAATAAAATCTGCTGACAATTTTAACATACAATTTGTGTTCTAAGCTAAATTTACATTATATAAATATCATACAAAGCATCTCATTCTATTCCCCTGGACACGGAGGTTCAGGGTCCTTCCTAAAAAAATAAATTTAAAAAATCGGACACTAAGATGGATTCAGCTTACTATATGAAGAAAAAGATGACATACGTTTTGGCTTCCTTTTGTTTGAACAGGATACATAAAGGGAAAGAAAATATAGGTGAGTTTCTTCAGAATTTATTTGATGTCCCAGTAATATTTTAGCCATAAGAGAGAGATCAAAAACTCAGAAACCAAAAAAGTCAGTTTTTCCAAAATACAGGAGTAAGGCAAGACCAAAGAAGGGAAAAGACCTAGCACTTTAGGATGTTTTTTTACTTTATCAGCAAAACGAGACTGTGAGCAAAGCAAAACCAACCTGCTTAAGTGACAAACAGAAAACGGTGGAAAACTAGAGGTAAAAAATTAGGCAAATTAGGAAAAGATAAGGAAATGTAATCAAAAGACACTCCCCTCCATGGGAAAGTATTCTGAGGAAAAACAAAAAAGCAGTGAGAGGGGGGTGAGGGACAACGGACAAACTAGGCAGGAAGGAAATGGGAGAGGTACAGGTTGTTCTAGGAACCTGATGTGACAGATCATCAAACAAAACTTTATAAGATAAGAAAACCATGAAAATTCAAGGGCTAAATAGATAAGAAAGATAACCATGAGCTTTTGGGGGCAATCACCAAATAATCTATAATTTGCATAATGAATAATGACCATATGCTATCATTAAATTATAATTTTACCAAGCCAAGCATTAAATTATAGACAAGTTTAACTCACCTGGAAGGCACAACTGCAATTTTTCTACTACCGTTGTAATGTTCCTCTGCTGAATTCTACATCGAATAATATCTTCTGTTTGGACTATCACCTTAGAAAAGAAGAAATGTTCATATTTTTAAGCAAACAGTTAAACTGCATCCACATATTAAGTATGCAAGAAATGTATTGTATTCTCACCTCCTTTCCAGCATCTTGAAATCTTCGGTTGGTATCAGTAACTTGCACCTTAAAAACAATTTCACCTTAATTAGACAAATATGCATAAAACTGCCCTGATATAACTGCTCACCCTTGTAATCAGATCATGCTTCATGAGAAACTTAGAACAAAGAAATGCAAATTCAAATTAACTCTACAGCTTGAACTTGAACTCTTGATTGAAAAGGGCTTTTGTTAACTTCAATTACTTATGACAGTTCTTTTTAACAGATTCTGTGGCAAACTTCTCAAATTTAATCTAGATTTTTGAACTTTACTTGCTTCTCTAAGTCTGTCAAACAATTCAAATCACTGACCCAATTGACCACTGGTCCCTTTTTGATAACTTCAATGAGGTCTATGTGCCATTCATTGTCTGTACAAAATAGTGATTGCATTTTATGGTAATTAAACATTCATACTTTGCTGAATGCAAACACTGGGTGGTTGATTAACATCAAACACGGAAATTTCAATCCACAGCAACATTTTAATGCTGCAGGTGCAGACAAAGCTCAACCTCAAATTTTCCCACATATTAAGTGACTCATTAGGTCATCATAGTAAGGAAGCACATTCTAGTTTATTAAAAATCTCATTAATTTCTGAACAAAGATGCTCAGTGACCTCATTGATGCTGTATTTGGTCTCTTGTTATCTGAATATCCTTTATATAATGGTTTTCTAATCATAACCTTTAGTGAACCAGGGTCATTTTATCTGCTAAATTCTCCAAATGTAAAGAAAGATAAATAGGCCAATTCTTATAACTAAATACTTTGTATTCTGACTGAACAAATCCAGGTCTCATTTAATAAATATTTTTGCTGTGTGGCAGAAAATATAGACCAATTTTCTTTTAAAAAATTGTGCTTTATTAGTAAACTAAAAAAAAGTTTCAATATTATTAAATAATTTTGAAAACACAAGCACTTATAGTTTTCTTCAATTTTTAGAGAATAGCTTTTTATCATTATTGTACTAATTGCAATTTTTAAAATTCTAAAACTGCAAATGAGGCCTTCCTTTGTATGAATTTTTTTAGTTCATTTCCCTGCATGGAAAGAAATCCTGTTAAGTCAATGCATTACTTGTTTTACAAAAAAGAGATTACTTCTGTCATTAGCATGACAACTATGTTAATAGAGCTAAAGAGCATTTCCAAATATACACACTAATTCACTTCTTGAAAATAGTACATTTAATAATGATTTGTACATATGCACTACAAACTAATACTTGACTAAGGAGAGCAAAAATAAAGAGAATTTTAAAATATTTCTTACCTTCAGTTTTTCTGCATCAGTCCTTACTTTAAGGAGCTCTGTAATAGCATCTACAAAACCCTGATGATGAAAATTACACATCTTTTCAATTTCCTTGTCATGATTACGGATACAAGCATCTAACTTTTCCATAAACTTCTTGTGTGCATTTGGTTGGTCATCATACACAGACCTGAATGTACACAAAAAAGAAAACTAACATTAACTTCCCAGTTCACCAAAATTTATTCTTTATTAAGCCCCTTCTTTGCAACGGCTAATAATTTTTTGTTGCTTTCTGATCAGTATATTAAGGAGACATTCATACATTTCAAGAATTATTTAATTCTGATACCCAGATTTAAGTCTGTGAATATGACTTTTAATTATAAAGCTATTCATCATAATATGATATAGTACCAACATTAAATTACAGTTACTTCAGAGCATAAGTTAAATGGTTTAAAGTAAGCAAGCCTGTAACACACCTAAAAAACACCTTCCTATCTCTTACATGCAAATTACTTCTCCAGTGTAAAGGTCATTTCACTCTAAATTACCCTGCTCCCAAAGTCACTACTCTGAAGCTTATCATGGTCCAAAGAGAAGGGGAAAAAACGTAACTGTGACTGATATATTAAAAAAAAAAAGATGGCAGGGCAGAAGGGAGTGCAATTCTACAAGTGCGAGCCCTCAAGCAGCAGCATATTATGATAAACCTTTTCTTTAGAAAGGTATCATTTCTAACACTGATACCACAGGCCAAATTACATAGCATGCCATCTTCAAGTAATAGCTGAGGCAACAGAATAAATGCAGAGGCATCACAATGAATCCCACTTAATATAACTAGGGATCAACACTTCTCTACAAATTAAGTTCTTTGATTGCCAGTTGAATACAAGTTTTAACTTCATAGCAACAGCTGATAATCTTTTTTTTAAAGATTTATTTATTTATTTCAGAGCGAGAGCACAAATGGTGGGGGGAGAGGGAGAGAGAGAATCTCAAGCAGACTCCACGCTAAGCGCCGAGGCTGATGCAAGCCTCGATCTCACAACCTGAGCTGAAACTAAGAGTTGGATGCTTAACTGAGTGGGTTAGCCAGGCACCCGCAAGGGCTGAAAATCTTAAAATAAAACTGGATTGATAGTACTGTCATTAGTGAAATCTTTTGTATGAAAAATGATTTAATTTCTTTTTGAACATGTTATTATTAAATGAGCCACAAACCCTCTAGATACCTGGAAACTGTCTAGATATCAGGAAATAAAGGTCTGAGGCTCAGGACATGAGTCTTTAACATACTAGTGCTCAAAAAAGAATCACTGAGTGAATGATTATAAAGAATGATGAACAAAATCCTGATTTCTACAGTACTTACTGTGTCAGGACATGTTCTAAGTGCATTTTATATATTAATTTTTTAATCCTCACAATAAGTCTATAAAGTAGGTATTATTATTACCCTTGCTTTACAGATGTTACAGATTATGTAACTGCTATAACTTCCACACTAGCAAGGGACAGATGAGATATGAATCCTGGTAGTCTGGCTCCAGAGTTCATATTCTCAAGCGCAAGGCCATCCTGCAGTCACCACAATGTTCTCTAAATATGGTGTACACATTTCTACTGTATCTCAGCTCATGCTATGTCCACATAGGGGGCACTACCCTCCCTGCCAACCACCATTCAGAAAAGGTTTGACCTTGCCCAAAGAAAGGTTTGGCCCTTGCCCCCAGCTCCTGGGAGGTAAGCCTTGGGAATGTTCTACCTGATTCTTGTCTTTGTTTACTTGGGGGCCTTGGGCAATGCCAAATAACCTAAGTTAGCAATGTGCTTTACATGTGATTTACAGTGGATGGGGGCCCTCGGCCACATTATAGCAGCTCCAGAGAGTCTACAGACTAAGGGTAAGCAACTCACGACAGTCAGCCATATCTATGTGACCAACTCCCAGGAAAAACCTGGACACCATGGCTTAGGTGAGTTACCCTGGTTGCCAATACTCCATGACTGTTGCCACACATCATTGCTGGGAGAAGTAAGTGCTGTCTACATGACCACCGGGAAAGGACTACTGGAAGACCCTGCTTTGAACTCTCCTAGACCCTGCCTTATATGCCTTTTCCTAATGTTAATTTTAATCCATATTCTTTTGCTGTAACAAACAGCAACTGTGAATATAACAGCTTTCTAAATTCTGAACTTGATGGTAGTAAATTCTGAACTTGACGGTAGTCTTGGGGACCTCCCCAAAATGTGCCACCCCCAATCTGTTGCCCATTGTTTGAGATTTAGTTCAATTCCCATTTCCTCCAATAGGACTCTGTCAATCATTTCCATGCCAAGTAATCTCTTCATAAGCAGAATAGGTAAATTCACAGTCCTTTCCACTCATTGTGACACGTAATCATATATTATACTTTGCACTGTAATTTAAACCTTTCAAATATATGTCCTATATTTTGTTTCTTCCTATCAACCATAAGCTTCTTGAGGGCAGCCTCCATGTTACAGGTTTTTTTTTTTTTTTTAATGTTTATTTATTTATTTGACAGAGAGAGACAGCGAGAGAGGGAACACAAGCAGGGGGAGTGGGGGAGGGAGAAGCAGGCTTCCCGCCGAGCAGGGAGCCCGATGCGGGGCTCGATCCCAGGACCCTGGGATCATGACCTGAGCCGAAGGCAGACGCTTAACGCCTGAGCCACCCAGGCGCCCCCATGTTACAGGTTTTTAATGAGTACCTATTATAATACCAGAGACAGCGATATTGGATAGCAATTATTAAAAATGTGGGCCTTTAAGAGCTGAGCTAGAACTAGGCTCTGATCTTGGACATCTTCTCTTTTCTAGCTGTACTACTCTCTCAATCTCATCCAGATTTGGAGTTTTATATTCCATAAGAACACTGACACCTCCCAAATTTATGTTTCCAGTCCCAACTCTCCCCTGAACTTCAAACCCATATATTTCTCCAACTGGGTATCTGATAAGCATCTCAAATATGTCCAAAATGATTTCTTACCTTCTTCAAACCTGCTCCTCTCACAGTCTTCCTCCATCTCAGTAAACCCCATTCTTCTAGGTGCTCTGGTAAAAAACCTTGAAATCACCCATGACAGTTCACTTTCTCTCACTCTCCCCACCAAAATAATCCAGCAAATCCAACCACATCTTACAACCTCTACTGGTGCCACCCTGGACTAAGTCACCATCATCTTGCCTAGAATGTTACCAACTGCTTTCTAATCAGTCTCCTCGATTTCACCCCTGCTTCCCTTCAGTCTGTTCTCAACACAGTAGACAGAATGATCCCATTAAAAGATAAATCAGATCCCATGTCTCTCTTCTGCTCCAAACCCTATTTCTCAGCAGCCCATAAATCCCTATATAATTTTGCCCCATATTATCTCACTGACCTCACTTCCTAATACTCTCCACTTTACTTATTCTATGCCAGCAACACTGGCCTCCTTATGGTTCCTGAAACACACCAAGCACTTTCCTGCCCTATGCTTTACACATGCTATTTCCTCTACCTCAATCACACTTCGTACACGTGGAATGCCTCCCTTCAGGTCTTTTATCCCCTTCTTGATGAGGCCCTTTCTGACTACAGTATCTATACAGTATCTATAAACACACACACACACACACACAATTCCACAATTCCCTTCCCTGCTTTTTTCTTAACAAAGGAGTTTACTTTATCACCACATCACTCTTATCACTGTAGAATAAACTCAAATATACTCTCTATTTCACACTTTTATTTATTTTGCCTTTGTCCACTGGAATGTAAGTTGTCTGTTTTGTTCCCCCACTGAATGCTCGGCCCCAGAAGAGTACTTATCACATAGCAGACGCTTTATAAATAATTGATGAATAATTGGAAGGATGAATGGATGGATAGGTAGATGGAATCAGAAAAGACACTAACTGTTCAACCTCAGATAAGCCACTTGACTTCTCTAAATCTCAACTCCCTCAACAATAAAATAGGGATTAAAAAAACAGTATCTAGGGGCGCCTGGGTAGCTCAGCCGGTTAAGCGTCTGCCTTCAGCTCTGGGCATGATCCCAGGGTCCTGGGATCGAGCCCTGCATCGGACTCCCTGCTCTGCGGGAAGCCTGCTTCTCCCTCTCCCTCTGCTGCTCCCCCTGCTTGTGCTCTCCCTCTCTCTCTCTGTCAAACAAATAAATAAAATCTTTTAAAAACAAACAAAACAAAAACAAACAAAAAAACCAGTATCTACATCACAATGTTTTAAGGATTAAATTAGTAAACAAATAAAAAATTCCTAGCAATAGCTGACATATGGTAAGTGCTCAATATACACTAGCTACTAGCATACTATGTACATAAAAGACAACCAAATCCTTATTAAATGAGTGAATTGGCTGCTGAATAAGTAGTGGCCACAAATATCAAATATGGCTAATATTCCATGGTAAAGGAGTTATGGGGCCTTTTGCATTTTTTTAGATCTAATGTTTCATTTATTTCTTATACTACACCAGAGGAAATATCACTGCCCTCTTTTCACAAGTGAGGAAGTAGGCATGGAAATAATAAATGGCTTGCTCAGTGTAGTCTAGTTAGTGAGGGAATGAGGCAGTACTAGAATTCCCAAAGTACTTTTGTGCTTCCCTTGTGCTTTTCCTATAATTAATACGTTTAATAAGAATTTCTAATTAAACAAGCATTCTGAAGGAAAATCCACATGCAAGAGAAAGTTTATCTGACATTGGTGTGCTATAAACAAATTTTTACTTCATAACTATGAATATGTATTGAAGTAATATACATACACACGCATTTCTAAAATTTTTTTTTACCTATCTTAATACAAGTTTGAAATGTATCTGGCTCTTAAAAAACCAGGTACTGAACAGAACATACCAAAAGAATTGCCTACTCTTTTTTTCTGTTACAGCTGTAGCACTGTAGCAAAAATCTAAGAGATATTTCAGGACTGCCCTACTACAATGTCCCCCCAAAGATGGTCCAACTCTGTCAGTGCAAAAGCAACACTGTTTTCTCTTTTAAAAGTAGTAATAATATATAAACAGAAAGAAGAAAAACAATAATTTTTTCCAAAAGTCTATTTTATTCTAGAAAGTTCTTAAAGTCCATCTTTCAGTGTGTCTTTCTAATTTATTCTCCAGAGTTTTAAAAACAAAACTACTCCTATTTTATAGTAATTCAAGACACTGCCAATGCATCTAGTATAGCATCACAGGTGAATGCCTTTTTTTTCTTTTTAAGATTTTATTTATTTATTTGAGAGAGAGGATGAGAGGAGAGAGAGAGCACATGAGAGGGGGGAGGGTCAGAGGGAGAAGCAGGTTCCCCGCCGAGCAGGGAGCCCGATGCGGGACTCGATCCCGGGACTCCAGGATCATGACCTGAGCTGAAGGCAGTTGCTTAACCAACTGAGCCACACAGGCGCCTGAATGCCTCTTTTTCAACTGATGTGATTAGTATGAAGAAAAGCAGTATCAGAACATATGCAATACTCACCCCCCATTAATAGAAAACCAAAGCCTGAAATGGGTGAACTATTTATATCCCATGCCTTCTGCTGTTAAAATAGAACTGCAAAGCCCAATAAAAATAATATTAAGGAATCAGTACTGTGAATGATGCACCTATTATTACTACGTCTTAGTCTCCCGATAACCACTCGCTGTTACAGACACAAGTACAAGCTGCAGCCCAAGCTGATATAACCACGTGTCATCCATAATCCATATCAATGAGATCACTCTGAGCAGAGTGCACAGAAATAAAGAAGGAGAGATGAGGAAACATTCTAAACCACAGGAATTAATTGCATTTTTTAAAATGTACTGATGGCTCAAGCAAGTGCCAGAATCCAAAATTCATCACAAGATAGAATCTGGCCCTGAAAAGGACCCTAGGAAGTTCCTAGGTCTGACTTTCTCAGCACAAATCTAAGGAGCCAGACACAAGCACTCAAAATGGAATTAATTAATACATGTAGTTGATTTAACCCTCTACCCACTCTGATGAAAAGTAATATTAGAAATAACTAGTCTGAGAATTTGCTAACAAAGCCAACAATAAATAGCTGAGTGAATAGAGAAAAACAGGGAAGGAGAAAGGGTGGATATGCATAAGAACACTGGAAAAGGGAATAAAGCAAAAGCAATTCCTCTCCCAATTATTATGATTTTTTAAGATTTTATTTATTTATTTGACAGAGAGAGCGAGACAGCACAAGCAGGGGGAACAGTAGAGGGAGAGGGAGAAGCAGGCTCCCTGCCAAGCAGGGAGCCCGATGTGGGGCCCGATCCCAGGACCCCGAGATCATGACCTGAGTCGAAGGCAGATGCTTAACTATCTGAGCCACCCAGGTGCCCCCCAAGTATTTCTTAAAACCATATATACAGCAGGAATTATCCATCTTTTCTTTGAAGGGACTACGTTTAATTATAGAGATAATCTGGAGAGACAGTGGAGGGAGGATATGGAAAGCAGAGAAGATGTGCAACTCCCTGTCAACAATTCCCCATAATGACTGAACTGACTAAAAAGGAGTCATATCTGCTGCTTCTCGCTTAATGTGGTGAAGATAAAAAAAAAAAAAAAAAACATAAAACTGTAACATACAACCAAGTACTTACTAATAAGTACTTTGCATGCATTACCTCATTAATATTCACTACAGCTTTACAATGTAGATTCTATTAGCATCCCAATTTACAAATGCAGTTTGGGAACATGAATACTCTAAGTCCAAAGTCACACAGTAGTAGGGCCAAGATTTAACCCCAAGTCTACCTGACTCCAAAGCCAGCGCTTTTTTTTTTTTTAAAGATTTTATTTATTTATTCATGAGAGACAGAGAAAGAGGCAGAGGGAGAAGCAGACTCCCCGCTGAGCAGGGAGTCCAATGTGGGACTCAATCCCAGGACCCCGGGATCATGACCTGAGCTGAAGGCAGACGCTTAACCATCTGAGCCACCCAGGCGCCCCCAAAGCCAGCGCTCTTAACCATTATGTCACATAGACTCTCCAATCAGAAATGGTGATAAGCAGCATGGAATGCAGAGAAGTTATGGGCATAGCAACTAACCAGATCACCTTTGAAGATCAACAATTGAGAATGACTCAATAGGGAATCCCTGATGTGCACTGTTGCACCCATCAGGTGAAATCATCCAATGGACAGAAAAAAAGGATGAGAACTGAGGCATAGCTAATTGTTAAAATTACAAATGCAACAAAATAAAGAGGAGCAAAATACGTAGAGAAAACTAAGGGCCCTGTACTTGTCTAACCTCAGCCAAAGGCTCCAAAAAATCTATTTTTTCTTGTCTTTGAATGACAATCATTATTCTTTGAAATTTTGATCTGCAGGACAAGAAAGGAAATACCATTCAGCACTATTCAATCTTTGAACCTTAAGTCAGTTAACAGTTTTATCCATCTAATTACTAATGTGCCAAATACATTACTGTTCTAAACTTTCAAGCAATATACAATTTTAATGAATTTTTCTGCTTTTAAAATGTCCCTCAGAATGCTATGTCTACTGGCAAGCCTAATCAAATCCTATAAATACACACAGACATATGGCAAAACCAGAAAGCTGGTATCCCACATCCCACTATCCCACATCCACTAAGGTTGTAAATTAGTGCTCCATATACAGTTGAACCTTGGACAACAGTTTGAACTGCATGGGTACACTTATACGCGTTTGTTTTTTTTCCAATACAGTACAGTACTGTAAATGTATTGTCTCTTCCTTGAAACTTTCTTTTTTTTTTTTTTTAAGATTTTATTTATTTATTTGAGAGAGAATGAGAGAGAGCACATGAGAGGGGGGAGGGTCAGAGGGAGAAGCAGACTCCCTGCCAAGCAGGGAGTCCGATGAGGGACTCGATCCCGGGACTCCAGGATCATGACCTGAGCCGAAGGCAGTCACCCAACCAACTGAGCCACCCAGGCGCCCTCTTCCTTGAAACTTTCTTAACATTTTCTTTTCTCTAGCTTACTTGATTGCAAGAATACAGTATATAATACACATAACATACAAAATATGTGTTAATTGACTGTTTATGGCATCTTAAGGTTTCTGGTCAACAGTAGGCTACTGTAGTTAAGTCTTTGGGGAATCAAAAATTATATGCAGATTTCCAACTGCACACGGAGTCCATGACCCCTAACTGCTGCATTGTTCAAGTGTCAACTATACATATAATAACTTCAATGTAAGAAAGTTCAGTCTTCTCTTCCAAAAGCTTAGCACAATAAAGCCTTACTTCCACCAAAATGTAATGCTAATCATGCCAAAATGCAGATGTAAAGTCAATTTTAAAAGAGATGACTTAAAAATTTCATGTGAACAGAAAATAAAGATGGACTATGCTACACTAAGAGATTTAATTTACATATTTTAATTTTAGCAAGTAGGAATGCATAGAAACAATGTGTATGTCTTAAAAGCATAGCTTAAAAGTTCTTTTAAGTACACATTTTCTATCTTCATTATATCTAATCTTCCATCCCAAAGCAAAATGTTGAAATATGAGTTATACACTATTTGACCATCTGATGTATCAGGCTTACAGCATTTAAACAAGTAAATCATCTTTCAGAAATGCCTTCTTGAATTGTATGTACAGGGCTCCCCCTAGTGGTAATAAAATAGATATAAAAAAACTAAGATAACATTCAAATATTAAAATTGCTTCTTTAAAAATTAATGTTATCAAATCAAATGTCTTAATGGAGGAACTCAGACTACTTCAAGCTTTGGGAAAGATACTCTATTAATAAGATAAATGATTTATTAATCATATTCCAGTTTTGTTTTTTTTTTAAGGATGGAAAACAACATTCACAAAATATTATGTGAAAAAGGACTCTCTTATTACTGAAAACACATTAGGATAT